CAAAATCTCTAAACGGCAAAGGCTGTGTACATGTTTGCCATCAATCTGTCGCAACACATCTCCAGGAGAGATTGGTTGTGGAAAGTTTTTTTGCACTTCTGGCTTGACCTCACGAACTAAAGGAGGAGAAGTCCACGCCAGCAAGATTCCTCCTATCCAATCACAGCCTTCTTCACACTCTGCATCAGGTTGCGGCCCACTCTGCAGGGCTTCTTGCGCTGACTTGCGCACGTCAGCGTCCATGTCACCGCCAGCCCTGAAAGTAAGGTCTCCTTTGTACTCCTGAAAGAGTTCCAAGATGGCTGTGCGGCTGAGGTCTTGCACTTCCTTGGCGTCCACCGCGCGCAACACATCCCGCGGAGAGATTGGCCTTGGAAAGTGTTTCTGCATTTCTGGCTTCACATCACGAACCACTGGAGGAGAAGTCCACGCCAGCAAGATCCCTCCAATCCAATTGCAGCCTTCTGCGCACTCTCCGTCAGGTTGTGGGCCACTGGCCAGGGCGTTTTGAGCTGACTCGCGGAAGCCATGGTCCCGGCAGCTCTGGAAGCCAATGCTGCCTTTGTATTTTTGAAGAAGCTTCAGGATTTCTATGCGGGTCAGCTTGCTCACGGTCTTGCCATCAACCTGGTACAAGAGATCACCTGGAGTGATTGGGTTAGGGAAGTGTTCTTGGACTTCTGGCTTCACCTCACGAACCACAGGAGGGGACGTCCAAGCAATGGCTTCAAGAGAGGAAACAGCGGGGCAGCAATCAGGCAATCAGCAAAGGAGGCATTGAAGAGCGGTCCTAAGGAGGATGATGAGTTCCCAGAGGGTCAAAACTGGATTGTGGGAATCCTCAACACTTCCCTTGAACTTCCTGAGCAAACCTAGGATCTCCCGCCTGTTCAAGCCGTCCACAGACTTGCCATCAACCTTCCGCAAGGCATCGCCAGGCTTGATCGGCCTTGGGAAATGCTCCTGGACATGTCGCTTCACCTCCCGCACAGTTGGTGGCGATGTCCAGGAAAGGCGAATGCCACCGATCCAGTTGCACCCTTTCTTGCACTCTTCATCTTCCTGCGCCCCACTGGCTAGGGCTTCTTGCGCTGACTGGCGAATGGCAGCTGGGAATCCATCTCCCACCCCAGCGAGCAATCTGTCAAGAAACCTCTCCCCTAAATCACCTTGACTCGAGGCGTCTGATGCATCTGATGCCTGTGATGTCTCTGATGCTTCAGACTCAGATTCTGAGCTGCCAGAATCATCTTCGCTGGAAGATACGCCATCCAGGGCACCGAAGAGTTTCTTCTCCAAACGCTGGATCTTCTCATCCGCCTTGGCACGTTCGGCTCGTGCCAATTAGAGCTGAGCACGGAGTACTGCTACGTCCGCTTGCTTTGAACTCTTGGCCTTTGTCCCCTTCTTCTGCGCGCGCGTTCGTGGCATGGCAACCAGGAAAACGAACCTGTTCAAGTCTCGAGCTTGAGCTGGTGTTAAAAGGCTAGTGACTCCAGGGTCTCAGGCATGAAACAATGACAAGGCTAAAATGAAGTTTTGTGTAATTAATCGTCGCGACAATTGATTGTTTCATGGAATTTGCTCAAGAGCCAGCATCCTATGTTTGTGCATTCTGGTTCTCTAAGGGGTTTGTGAAAAATTGTGAAAAGGCTTTCAAACGCAGCCATTAAGCAGCTCTGAGAACAATTGAGCGCGTCTCTTCAGGCAACAAAAAGCATACGTTCAATCACAGGGTTACCTTTCAACAGATAACCTTGCAAGTTGTGACAGTCAAACGAGAACCTACGAGTCTTGCCACCGCAGGTTCCGAACTGTATTGCCTCGCAGATACAGACCGCTTGGCATGGACTTGTGCACCTGTCACATCTGACCGTCGGTCGCGCCACGAATCCTACAAAACGCCCGGCCAAATTGGACAAATCAGTTTAGCCTTGATCATTCTTAGAGCACTGCCTAAACAGCACATAAGCTATCCATTTGCTGATGAGCCGGGGCTGGTCCAAATGCAAAACAATCACTTGTGAAGCTGTCTTATAAGTGAGCCCATCAGCTGGGCAAGCGGTGCTTCCACTTCCATCTGCAACAGGGTCAGCTGGTGAGCTGCCGCACTGCTGGCCTTGTAGCAACAACAATCCTCCGCAAACATCAAAACTCCTGTTTTTCCTGGTAGACGCACGCAGGCGCATTGAACCGCAGCCAAAGACATGGAGTTCAGTCCTGCGTAACTCACAGTTCGCAAGCTCTTTTCCATGAGCAACTAGCTTTCGCTTGCTATAGCAAATGGGCGCTGATGTTCACTGCGCAATCAGCCGCTGCACGTCATTTGCTGCAACAAGGTGGCGCTGAATACATGTGTGCAAAGTCCTGCTGGAATCTCTGTGGCTTTAACTGCGCGATTCGGAAGCCTCAAGTAGTTGCAGTAAAACACATCAAAACAAGTCGCACCCTTGTGCCCAAAGGGATTTCAGCTAGTACCCCAAATCCCTCCCAGTTTGCACACCTAAGGTGGCGGCATGTGGCAAGGATGAGCACCTGAACTAGCCACTTACGCCAATCAGAGCCTGAGCTACAAGTAGGGCTCTGCAGGATCAATCTTCTAGATCCCTCAAGCGACGAAGCAAATCCGCCAGACTGATGTTGGCAGCCTGCTTCGCGCGAAAGCCAAGCCCACCATCAAAACGGGTGAGAGCACGAAGGATGTCTGCACGTGACATGTTCTCCACTTCATGTCCACTCACTGAGTGAAGAACATCACCAGGAGAGATCGGCCTTCGGAAATTCTTCTGGACACTAGCCTTCACATCGCGGACCACTGGAGGAGACGTCCAGGCCAACAAGATTCCACCAATCCAGTTGCAACCACTTTCTGACTGCTCGTCCTCATCAGGCCCATTGTCCAAGGCTTCTTGTGCACACTTGCGCACGTCGGCGTCCATGCTGCTTCCGCTTCTGAAGCCCAGGCTGCCCCTGAAGTTTTGGAACAACCTCAAAATCTCTAAACGGCAAAGGCTGTGTACATGTTTGCCATCAATCT